TCTTGATTAACCACTGCTCTGACAAACTCATCCCATAAAGCAAATCATAATGGCAGAAACAGGTAAAGAAGGGCTCATGAGAGCCCTTAAGCCAAAAAGAAGGGTTCCCTTTTACCTTGATAAATATTAGCAAAATAGGTTAATCTCATTTCTAGAAGATGGAAAATATTATTACTGCCTTTTAATATTCAACTGACAAACATAGTACTGAATTTTTATCACTGGGTATGGTATTTTGTTTATATAAGGTATGTCTTTGCACATAACACAAGGCAAGATAAATGCACCTACATAAGATACAAAGTATAGGTATACCAACTAACATTTTAGAATTTATTCAGTCATATAACAATTTTAGATGCATGCAGATAATTAAGACTTTTAAGAGAAAGAATCTAAAGATTAAAGTACTTTTGGGTGTCACAAAGAAAAGAGCAAGTCTCCCATCAGCAAAAATTCCCATACTAAATATTTTCAAGTTGCAGCATCTTAATTAATATTTCCTATTTTCTAACACTGTTTTCCAATATCAATAGTGGTTGTTAACCTGCAGTCGCTCATTTTATATTGAAAATAAAATCTAAATTTAGATAGTATTCTTGTGAGCATACTGACAAAAAATAACTAAGTGAGTATCCTACAACCTACAGCTTGCATACTTTGGTCTCTCATAGGCAAGTTTGGTACTTCAGGTATAATTACCTCATTCTATAAAATCATGTATGTAGAAATGGCTTTCTTACTCTGGAACAACCGTTGATTAAATTTGACATTTCTTCTGAATTAAGGCCTTCATGATAGCCTTTCGAATCTGTTTAGTCTTCACACTGTAAATGATAGGATTGAGAACAGGAGGGATGAGCAGGAAGACATTGGCCATGATGGTATGCACAAATGCTGGTGCTGAATGACCATAACGGCGGACAAGAGACAAGCTGATGAGAGGAATGTAGAAGATGGCAACAGCGCTGATGTGGGACACGCAGGTATTGAAGGCTTTCTGTCGCTCCTCTGAGGAAGCAATCCTGAGGACAGACCTTATGATGAGAATATAGGAGAGCAATATAAAAAAACAGTCAAACCCTGCAGTGAAGAAGATTGTAAACAGACCAAGGATGTTGTTGATTCTGTTGTCTGTGCATGACAGCTGAATGACATCAACATGGTAGCAATAAGAATGTGAAAGGATGAGAGATTTGCAGAAGGACAGCTTCTTGACAAATAGTACAACTGGCACCATAACAGCAACATTCTTTATCAAAACAATCACCCCAATCAGGGCAATCCTGGCGTTGGTGAGAATGGTGGTGTATCTCAGTGGGTCACAGATGGCCACAAATCGATCGAAGGCCATGGCCAGCAGAACCCCAGACTCCATGAAAGTAAAGCTGTGGAGAAAGAACATCTGAGAAATGCAAGCATTTAAATTGATTTCCCGGGCTTCAAACCAGAGGACACCAAGAGTTGTGGAAAGTGTGCACAGTGACAAACTCAGGTCTGTAGTAGAAAGCATGGCAAGGAAGTAATACATGGGCTCATGCAAGCTGTGTTCACGGAGGACCACCAACAAGATCATGCTGTTTCCAGAGAGGGCAATGGCATACAGGAGACAAAAAGGAATAGAGATCCACACCTGGCCTGATGGCAGGCCCGGGATACCAGTCAGAAAGAAGATCACGGGTTGAGTACTAGTATTGTTGAGGACCAACATCACAGTGGACTGAGAAGAAAGAAATATTGGGATAATTGAACATAAAAGATAAAAACATACAGTTCATTACTTAGAAGATCTTTCTGGCACTCTAATATTTACCCAATTACTGTAGCTAATTCTTGAAAAACCTTACTATTTTTGAATTTCTCAGAGCTGCAAGCTTTTCACACACACTCTTGGTGTTTCCCCTTCATCAAGACATAAAATTACTTGAAATGTTCCACATCAAATTTTTGCAAGTAAGGAAAGCCTGTCTCTTTCTCTTCAGTGGCAACAAACACCAAGGTAAAATTATCACTGTCTGGAAAAGCTCTCAGGCAATTAATAAATAATATTATAAGAAATTTAGTTTCAAGTACTTTTGAAAGTTGATTGTTGATTCTGGAAGAAAGGATTGAACAAATCAAATCATTTGTGTAATTAAATATTATCAGGCTTTCCTGGGAGATAACCAGAAATATGCAAAAATTCTTGAATATACATATGTGTTTGTGTATATGTTGAGTTTCTGGTGATCTAAAGTACTAGCCTAAGATACATTAATATTGGCTCACTAATTTTGAGCTCCCTAGGTGTGATATTTTTTAT